TTTTTTTAAACCCAAATACAGTCTACGTATGAGGCTTGATAAATTATAGTGGAATTCTATGTTATTGGTATAATAATTTATGATTTGTTGGTTAGTTCAAATGTATATATAAAATCTAAAAACAATTATTTCGTTTCACATTCTCCACTTGCAAAATGGGATAAGGCTTAGCAACCTATGGCAAGCAGCAAACAAGTACAAAGTTTGTAACTAGAAGAGATAATTGTTTGCTATACTTCTTTATTTACTCTTCTATGTTATAAGAAAAATAAGTTTTAAGAATTTATTTGTAAATAGTAATAATGTATATACATATATAATGTATTATAACTGAAATGTGACTGTATTTTACCAAATACTAGTCCACTAAAACACAGCCAAGACAGGTCACTTTGTAAAGGCCAGTTTTATATTCTTGGATATGGTAACATGAGTGCACATGCTCCGTATCATTGCAACTTCTGTAATGTTAGCCAGGCATGGCTGGAAGGTCAATGTATTAAAAATAATCGTATATAGATGTATAATGTTATGAGATTTAAGCTATTTAGACTAAACATTTGTGTTTTCGTATTATAATTTGTAGTCATTCTAGAATGGAAAAGGCATAATTTATATTTATTTCCTAATTTTTATGATGCTTATGAGATCGGTCAAATCGAACCCGTACAGAGATAAAATAACATATGAATAAAGTTTTTTCCTAAGAAATATTTGATAATTATCTGGATGTTATAAAGATTTTGCATATGAAATTTGAAAGATTTCTGACGCGTAAAATTATTTTTAATCTTAAAATCGAAATTTCTTTGCACGTTGGATAGTCAATGTGTGAAAAGAAAAAAGGCATGAGAAAAACATTACTTAAAAAATCTTAAACTTAATAAAAAGATCTGATATTTTGCATACAAAAGCCTTGTAATGTTTACTGATAATCTGCAAAATTTTGTGAAGATATGCATACTAATTTAAAAGTTATGGTATGAAAACTATAACAAGCACAAAATGGTTATGAGGTCAGTGCCAGGGACCGAGCCTGTGCTGAAGGAGTTAAATATACTTAGCACATGTGTTTCTAAGGATACTCAAGTGCATTGGAGTTACTTCTACTTAAACATGCAAATTGTGATTTTTATATACGTGCTCAATATATGCTCTTTATTATCTGTATGATGATTATCAGCACTGAAAAACTTGTTGATAATCCTCGTTGTTTTGCATGTTTTTCTGAGGTAGTTATGTGACTGAAAGCAAAGGAAGTTTGTTGTTTCCATATTTTTATTATTATTAATTGTTTGATATTCTCAAGTTTACTTGTTTGATTTTTTAGTTATTCCTTTATAGATTATTTTTATATCTGTTCAGTTTGATTTTTTTGTTTGTAGTGTTTTTAACAAATATACTTTTATCTTTTTCTGTTTATACATGTAACAGACGTTAAATGGCTCTTTGTGGAAGTTTTAAAAATAATTTATAAAATGCTTTTAATACTCAAGTTTTGTAATAACTTTTCTTAAAAAAGCAGTTAAATACATCTGAGCTACAATGTGAGAAATATATTAATGAAACAGAACATAAATACTAATGACTTTGTAAATTATTAGGTTACCCTTAATTGCTCTTTGAAACATCTGAAATACCCATAATTATACATAGATATAAACATTTATAAAATGTCTCACAATTTTCTTTTATTGATAAGAATATTTTAAGATTCTAGGTTTGATGTAAGATAAGTAAATGTAAAAGTTGATCTTAGCTAACATACAAAATCCTGTAGAAATGCATTAACTTTAACAAAAACATAAATTAGTAAGTTCAAGAATTCATTGGAAATGTACCATTTAAAGCTGTATGAATCCAAAGACAATATAAGACCATTGGGCTAGAATTTGGAATGGAAGAAATATGTCAATGAGAAATTTCACTACTATTATAAATAGCAAAAATGGAAAATATCTCATGAACTGTACTGAACAATTTATAGAAAGTTTGATATTTTTCATTATTTATGCTCCTATCAAATGTATAAGTTACTGTTATTTAAAACTTGTAACTCATTACACTTGTTTTTGTTATGTTACCTGATTTTAATTAGATAAATATGAATTGTACAGTAAAAAACAATTAGAGATATAATTTTTTGAATAACTGTTCCATTTATTTTTTCAGCAAGAAATTGAACAGACTCACAGCTCTGTTGATGAAGACAGGAAGCTTTACTTGCAGGCAGCTATTGTTCGTATAATGAAGGCAAGGAAAGTGTTACGCCACAACATCCTCATACAAGAGGTCTGTTGATGTATTTGAAATATTACTTTGATTTTATGAAATATAAATATATGGTTATTACTTAATTGTGAACCTGACAAGTTATTTATTGAGGTAGGAAGTAAAAGAAGTTATTGCAGTGGGTATGAAATATGGCCGTCATTAGAGATCAGCTTATCATGCTGTCATTTGAGGGGCTAAAATTTGACTAAGAGCTAAAAGCCCGGGATGGCCAGGTGGTTAGGGAGCTTGACTCGCAATCTGCGGGTCGCGGGTTCGAATCCCCATCACACCAAACATGCTCGCCCTTTCAGCCATGGGGGCATTATAATGTGACGGTCATTCCCACTATTCGTTGGTAAAGAGTAGCCCAAGAGTTGGTGGTGGGTGGTGATGGCTAGCTGCCTTCCATCTAGTCTTACACTGCTAAATTAGGGACGGCTAGCGCAGATAGCCCTCGTGAAGCTTTGCGCGAAATTCAAAAACAAACAAACTAAGAGCTAAAAGAGACACTGTAGTTAAATTCTACAGGATACAGAATATTATGATTGATAAAGTTAAATCCTAAAAGAAAAAAAAATGGTGAGGTTGTTAAAATTTGAAGGAATGTTAAATTTTTTTATGCAGACAGTAAAAATTTTGAATAGTTAAAACAGCTCTAAAAGAAAGAAAATCTGATTGGTATATTGGCCAATTAATCTTCAGCATATTACTTTAGCACCTGAGGCAAATTGAATAATCAAATGTTAATAAATTATATATATATCTAAATAATATGACCAATGATAGCAGTAACTTATTTATGGGCTTTTTTTTTGTTTTATAATATGTTTACTAGTACTGTTAGATCCGCATAATTCACAATATAATGGTTGAAATACAAACTTAGTTCAGTTTAAGGTAATTGCTTAAGTAAATATTGAATAATTAGCATTCGAAAATTTATATGTGAAGACATTTAGTGATGGTTTAATTTAGGATGAGTCAGCATCTACTACATAAAACAACAACAACTTTGTTCCTTGTCAGGGTGTTATTAAGGGAGAAACACAAATGAAATCACAATGTTATTCCTATAACCTGCAACAAGCATAACTATAGTGAACATAAAACCCAGATTTGATGTGAAGGAGTACTTATAGATGTGAAATGTTTAAATCCATGATGTCTATATAATGCGATCACGAGAATCTTAGTTGTCAGTGTCATCAGAACCACAGCTCCATCCTCCCATGTCAATGGCATGATCGTGAGTGTCCAGAAACTCCATGTGCATTGGTGGACGTATTTTCCATTTTTCATATTTTGGTATTTCTGCTGGTCAAAAATCAGAGTTATTAATATTAGTCACCAGAGTGTATATGATAATCGTTATTTAGCATTTGTGATGACATATTTATTGTCGTTACACTGAGCAAGTGCATGTATTACAATCAGTTTCATATATGATATGTCTTTTGTTCCATTTCATATACTGTGTAACTATTATGGTTGTATATGCATGTTTTCAGTGTTAAAAGTCAACTCCATTTGTGGGTAAATGACTGATTTTTAGTGGAACTTGATACATTACTCACATCATGCATCATATATTGACAAACACTTTGCACAAAATGTTAACTTCCTAGGAGGTATAGCAGTATCAGGACTATTGACAGTACTACTTATTATGTGTTCCATTTCTCAGTACTTTATTCTTCACTGTATTTTAGGGCCAAAAATGGCACTTACCTTTCAGATGTAACCTGATTTTGTTAATAGATTTGTGGTGAAACAACCTGAAAAAAGACTGACTAATAGCTTGTGGATAAGTAAAGATGGATTTTTAATTTCTAAAAAAATTTAATTTGTTGAAATTGGGTATAATGTTTTTTTAGAAAAAAAAAAGGAAAAATGAATGTTAGGAATGTTTATTTTTTAATAAAACACAAAAAGGAGAGATTAGTATTTTTCCTACGTTTTGAAATAATTGTAGTTAAAATGATATTTTTTGGAAAAGATTGTATTCTACTCTCCTTTTTTTTAACTCCATATAAGATGTTTCATGGCTGGTAATTATTGAATTGTATTCTTTAAGAAACTACAATTATTTAAAAAACAAACCGTATTGAAAGATTGAGCATTACAAAAGTTATGTTCTGTCTAGATGGAATGCTAAATACTACCTAAAGTTTATCATTGTTAAAGTAAATCCAAGCTAAATGATAAATCTGTAATCCTTGTAGGCCTTTTGACAGAAAGTGTAAATTTTCTCTAGTTTTGGAATACATAGTTTGGTTGGCATTTAGATTTTCTGAATTTTTTTTTTCCACATTAATAACTTGGTTTATCCACCAGTTTTTTTGAATCAAACATAACCTTAGCAAGAAAAAAAAAAATCTTTTTTTTTTTTGCTTAGATTGGATAGTTTTTGTTAACAATTATGTGCCAGTTTAGCTTTAACAGATAAAATACAAAAATTATTAAAACAATTCTAAAAGGGAAAAAATATGATTGATATTTTGGTCAAACAACCTTCATTATGTTATTTTATCATCTGATAGTGAAATGTAATAATTATCTTTAATGAAAAAAATATGACCTATAAATATCAGTCACTTTTTCATACTTTTTTAAAGGTTGCTTATTTGTTTTATAGTACATTTAGTAGTCGTGTTTTATTGGTGAAAATTCAACCTTAGTTTGACATAGGGTAACTAAAAAGACACTGAAGAACTAATCATTGGAAAATTTTATATAAGATAAATGGAAGTAAACCTTCACAAAATACTGTTTCAGAATACACTGACTATTAAGTTTTAAGTAAAAATCCAATATGTTTAAGATGAAATAGATGAAAGGCTTGAATTTAGGATGACTGCTCTCGGGACTTGGACTTATTTCTAGTATTAATGTGATTCAAATATTAAATATATTAAGTAAAAAACCAGTATGTTTAAGATGAAATAGATGAAAGGCTTGAATTTAGGATGACTGCTCTCAGGACATAAAAATTCAAGCTCTTGAACTAAAATTTTTGTAAGGAATTTTCTTACATTTTAAATGTATAATTTTATAGGTAATCAATCAAGCCAAGTCACGGTTTGTGCCCAGCATAACAATGATAAAGAAATGCATCGAAGCTTTGATAGACAAACAGTACTTGGAGAGGACCCCTCACTCTGCTGACGAGTATAGTTACGTAGCATAAAAAAGGAGATGTTTTAATACACATATGGTTATTGGAGTGTTTTTCCTTTTTTTACTCTAAAAGACCTAATCCTATGTTTCTAATTTGTGTTTGTGAAGAAGGCCGTTTTTGAAGTCATGCCTGAAGAAGCTAACATCCCAGTGCTAAAAAAGTGAAACTTTTGTGAATATTGCACTGTTGTTAGGATTATTGTTGTTTTACAATGAATATAGTAATCTCACCTAGTGAAATGTTATACTAAAGAAAGGACAATTCAAAACTGTTTTAGTTTATTTATAGCAGTAAAATACAGTACATGAATATTATACTGAATACTTCAGAATCATTAAAACAAAGTGTTACAGTTAGGTGTGAAGATGTATTAAAAAAAACTGCCTGAATTCTCTAAAGTGTATATTATAAACGTTTTTGTTTATGTTTTAACATTTAAATGTTGTAAATGTTTATATCATAAGGTTCTTTGGTTATGACATTTGAGATAAATTTTAGTAAGGCTTTTTCACAGTACATAGCAAGAGTTGTATATAAACTTCCACAATTGAACATTAACTGACAAAACGTAAATCTTAACTGTTTATCTTTCATGAATTGGGTAGTTGATTACTTCTATTATAATCAGTTACAGCTGATTTTTAATTCTGATAAGTTTCATAGTCCCAAATAAAAAAAAGTGACTCCCTCTTTTGTTTGAATATTGTGATATTTTCAGTTTCTTACTTTGTCATAAATATATATATATATATATATCTAAATGCCTATTACTGCTTTTGCTGTTTTCTAACTGAATAACCTTATTGTTGGTTTCATTCAACCATGAAGAAATGTATTGAAAGTTTAGAAAATTTGAAATAATTTCTATTTATTACACCTAAAACGTGCATGTCTATTAGCATATCTGTTCTGTTTCATGACAAAAGAATATAAAGTTTGTAAGTATTCTTCAAACCTAAAAGTACCCTGTACAGCACACCTGCAGACCAAATTTCTGATATATATTTTAAAATTTTCCCTCATGATGTTGAACAATTTTTTTCATTGTTTAATATACAAATTTTAAGTGAGTTATTTACAGAATTACAATTATATGTAGACTTGGCAGAAAATTTTGTACTGATTGTGAACTCGTGTAAGAGGTGATGAAGAAGTGGTAGTTAAAAGTACTTTGTCATGCTTATAGTATAAATCAAAATGTCTGGTTAGTTGATTGGAAGAGTTCATTACAGGGGAATATGTAACCAACCAATCTAAATTGTACGTTATTTAGATTATCATGTAAGAATGAACGATACGAGATATTGCTCGTGGAGTAGCTGATTATTTCTTATGTGTACAAATAATAAGACTGTGAAATTTGAATAGAAAGTTCTTAATTGGTCAATCATGTATGTGTTTTAGTTGGTCATGTATATTGCCAAGTGATGGAGAAGAATTATCTGATAAGTGATGCAATTCGGTCATTGATTTTAGGTGATACTGTCAAAGTAGAGTATTACAAGCTAATTGTTGGCTTGAATTGTGTGATGAAAGTATTGTGAAATGACAACAGAAGGTAAATATGTAAAAATACAAAACTCTTTGATTATTGTAATTTTCTAGCTTTTATTCTTATCATTTTAAACTATATGCTGTGGTTTTGGATGTAATGAATCTCTACTTCCTTTGATGTTGATACTTGGGTGACAAAATACCTTGCCTAATACCCAGCAAAATTACACTTACATATTAGTGGAATGGTATTTAGGGTGATACAATCAAAGTAATCAACTTAATGTAACACCTTCTGACAGAAAGAAATCTTATCAATTTAAAAGTCTTATCATGTCAAAGCTGTAATTTTCCTTTTGTATTGGAAGGAAAAAAATCAAACATGGTTAAAGCAAAAACCCATCTAAAATATGAAAACACATCACAAGATGCCAAAAGTATGAATTAACAACTGACACTGAAAAACCTAAAAGAAAATCTGTAAAAGATCTGTTGTCATGAATATTTTGTTTAACAAATGGCAGAAAAGTTATAAAATATTGCATGTACAAAAAAAAAAACTTCACAAATATACAAACACATTACAAGTCTATGTAGCCTAAAAGAAAAGAAAACAGTGATAAATAAATTAAGAGAAATGTCAGATTTAATAACTAACGAATTACTTGAGCTTAATTTTAGTGTCTTTTAAGACATTGAAAATTTGTTTAAAATTAAGGTGATGAATTCTATTGACTTAAATTGGAAGTTGCCTCAAAATGTTTACTTGAAATGCTCTGCTGTAACCCAAAATACTGTTACATTATCACACATATACTAATGTTAATAGTTAGTATTCATTCAGAAAGCCAAATGAGCAAAAGCTAAATATTATTTTCATTATGCTCAATTTGTACACATTCATTGTCAATATCTGGTTTATTGAAGTACATGAATGCAATTTTTTGCCAGTTGTACAGATAGCTGTAAAGGTAGATTGTTTACAGAAAAATTCTGTGAAGGAAACAAAAGTTCAGATTTTTTTATAAATTTGAAAATGTAGGGATTTTTTTTAGTGGAAACATGGGCATTTGATGGTTCAGGTTTGAGTTTTGTATTGTTCTTGAAAGCATATTTCTTTTATCCTTCTTGTAAGTAGCATTTGTTAAAACTTGTGCTCTTTTTTACCATATGTTGCTGTGATTGAATATGATTTGTAAAAGTTCAGCCCGTGAGCTTCTAATGCTAAAATTCACTGTTTGATCCCTGCAATGTGCACAGTGCAGATAGTCCATTGTGCAACTTTGTGCTTAACATAACCACGACACCACATAGACAGATAAACATAAAAAAAACAAGAATCTACACTTTTAGAATTTAATAAATTTTAAAGAATGCTTACATAAAAAATGTAGTTTGCATTTTGTTAAGTAAAGAAGTTAAAACCTCAATATCTGATGGGTTAAGTTATCAAAAAAGTGCTGTTAGCATTTGATACTTAAGTAAACTATTTAAGGTTAACTTTTATTACCTAAAAATTACATTTAAGTGACATTTTTATCAAATTCTAAACATTGTTAAATTTCTTATTAATGGTTAACTTTAGCAACAATTTAAAATTTTAACTTGTCAAGCAATTTCCTGTTTATTATAACACAATACTGATGTATAACAACTTGTTTATTTGACTTACTACACCTGGATTGTAATGTGTGATGAGTAAACATTAATACAAGTTATTATTTAGTAACAAGTAACCAACTCACATCTCAAGCTTAGACAATAAAAAAAGTGAAATCTATCATTAAGCCTGGTGCAATCATAGAAAAATTTAAGATTGTAGATCCATTTGAAATAGAAATTCAGAAGTTTAGTTTTATGTCATTGTAAAACTATTATGCATATGCATGAAAGGGGAAATCAAAATGAAAAAAAAATGTGATATTCAGATGAAACCTTAACAGTTGTTTTTATGTAACTTAGTGAGTACTGGAGTTGAGGTGAATAAACTTAGAATCCCAAAAACATAACAATAATAATTAGTAAATATATTATTTTCGGGACTAGACTTGGATTAATATGTTAGAATATGGGTCCATGGTTTGTGCCCCATTGCTGCAAAATTGAGCACTGCACTTTGAAATTGTGGATGCATTAAAGGAGTGACAGGCAAATTCCACTGTGTGTTCAAACAAGAGTAGCCTAAGAGTTGGGAATGGGAGCTGTTGACTAGCTGCCTTTCTTCTAGTCTTTCAGTTCAAAATTGGAAACAACTAGCACAAATAGCCCTTGTGTAGCTTTGCACAAATATATATCGGAAACAAACAAAAGTTATTTTAGCCTAGTCTTTCTATAATTGTTCATCTGTGGTTTCCATGTTTCTTTGAGTAGAGATTCATTTCTGTCTAAGAAACTGTTATGTGTAGGAAAACATTTTTTTTATAGAAAAAGAGTGGTTGTCAATTTGGGGTAATCAAGTTGTGTACTGCTGTAGCAGCTTTTTCAGTGTGTCTTAAATAACCTCTCGAAAGTGTTCTTCAAGTCAAGTAAAGTGTTCACTTTCTCCACTGTATTTTCCTGAGCATAATTATTTGCTTTAATTTCATCTACTATATATTTATTATAACAGTTACTAATATATAGCCTTTTTTTTTTCTTGGCTGTATTTTGGATGTTAATGCATCTATCTGGTTGGTTCTTGGATTATGAGGTGAGAATTTGTTTCATATTTTTGTGGTTTATGTGTCAACTTTATTGATGGTCTGCCTGTATTCATTTATGACTTAATGAATTTGGCTACTTAAATTGTCACTGATATAAGGTATAACTAACTGGTTTATGGCATTTCTCTGTTTTTGCTAAAGGATGAAATCACTTGAGATGCTAAAAAGGATGGATGCCTGTTTTGAAAAAGTTATTGTTTTAGTTCTTTGACATTAATCTTGCTAGCTACCTTGTGCATATGGTATCAATTCTTTATGGGTGGTCAATGATTGTTCATAATAGGGTGCCTAGTTTCTAGAACAAACAAAACAAAATTGTAAACTGAATAATCTAAAAAGATGGAAGAAAAACACATCATTACACTCTCCATCCCCCTTAAACAGTGGATACCCAGAACACTTGATAAAAAACTAAATATAGAAGACAAACACTGGGAATAAATGGAGAGAGAAAAATACAGACACACAGCCATGTTATATATATTAGATGAACTCTCTGGAAACGTACAGAGGACATGTTATCAATATAATCAGAACAGTATTTGGAAACCACCACATATTATGATTATAATAAATGCACATCAAATCACTTAAAGACTTACTAGATAGGAAAAAAAAAACATTCACTACGTCCACTGTGAATGTGAATTCCAATACAGTGGAGAAATAAAAAGACAAAATTTAGAATTCAGGAGCATAATAAGACATATAAGATTTGGTAATGCTGATCTATCTGGAATAGCCTATCATACCAAAGAAGAATGTTGTACAACAAATTGAAATAATACTAAAATAGCAGGATATAAACCACAAATGAGAAAAAAATATAAAAGAAGCCTTCTATATAAACCTAACTTATTGCACACACAGTCAACCTAATATAGAAGTCGGCAAAGCCAGGATAAACTCTTATCAAGTTGTAATGGAGACCTTATGCATCATACTTCCATCACGAAATTCCAGGATTGAATCCCAGCTCCTGCTGCCATTTTAAGTCCTCAGGACTTCCCTGAAGGTGGCAGTTTAGTAGCCGAAATATTGGATAAAAAACAAGTTAGTAATTAGTATGTAGTTGTGTACACACAAAAGAGAAAAATTGTTACTAATTCATAATTAGACTTTGGAGGTCGTAGAGGCTACTATAACCACGACAATAGTTGTTCTTCACTTCGTAGAATGAGGGCGGTGTGAAGAACAACGGAGAGTGATGTAATTGACATTAGGTTTCTTGTAAATGCCTGTTAGTATGTTTAGTTCTCGAACTATTACAGATACATCTAAATAAAACAAGTTTTGTTTAAGCGATATTCTAGTGTAAATTTGATAGTTAATCAAGTTTAATAAGGTATGGAACTTAAAGGTTTGAGGCAATATTTGCCAAAAATATCCATGTACCAGAGCCAAATTTCAAAAGTAATATATTGTAGTAATTTCCACTGACAACAAGCTTGCTGTTTAGAAATAACGTGTATATATCAACAAAAGCAACAGTAATCCAGTTGTTCATAGCTATACCATTAATTTGGAAAATAATTTATAAAATAAACCTAAGATTACTATAAATTGTTGCAAGGGTTATATTATTTAAATTCAAAATGGCGGCGATATTTCTGATGATATTCGTTATAGCTTTAATCCCTTCTTCAATGGTTAAGAAATTATTCCCTGAAATAACGTAAAATTAGGTTTAAAAAGATAGTTGATATTCCAAAGTTTTTTGTTTTCTTTTTCAAAAAGAAAATGTGAAAAAATTTATGATAAAGAGCAAGGTAATATTTTTTTTTTTACAGACAATAAAGTGTCTTAATTTGTGAATAACAAGTAGAAAGTCAATAGGTTTCAAGGAGTATTAAGGGTGTGTTCTGTTGGAAAATGGATCAGTCGTGGCCTTGTGTTTAGTGTGCCGAAGTGAGGATCCATGGTTCGCGTCCCGTTGCTTTAAAATTTTGCTCCTTCCTTTGAGGCCGTGAGTGCGTTATAAGAGTAACGGTCAAAATTACACTTAGAGTAGCCCAAGACTTGGCTGTTCGTGATTAGCTATCTTCTTTGGAGGCTGTCAGTTAAAAAATAGTACAGAAACTATGTTGTCTAACTTTACTTGAATATCGGAAATAAACTAACATTTGTCAAACCATAAGGAATTGGCCCCCCAACCTCAGCAGGTTTTAAGTTTACTCAGTAGAGAAATGTTATTCTTGATGTTGCTTCTTTAATTGAGTTCCAGATAGGTCTTGTTGTAGAGCTCTGTTTCATAGCTGTTAAACTTTGTTCAAGTCTGTGTGATACCACAAAATATTCGCCGCATTATAAGAATGACAGTCAATCTCTTAGGGCTCTCTAATTTCTGTAATTCAAAGTTAGGAACAGCAACAGATATAGCCGTAGTATGTTGGCCAAAAAT